GGGGGGGGGAATAGCTACAGATGTCTTCTCTCTATTTTTTCTTGTCCTTCTCGTATTGTTTTTAGGGGATATTTTCACCGAGAAATCTCCGTTTCCGACCCACTAAATTATAAAACTATTAAATTTATTTCATATACTCTCACTCACTTTACTGAAAGTGAGTAACTAAATTTATCATATTTTATACCTATCTCGTTAATATCTAAATTTATGTCAATCTTTGCTTTTTAGGACTTTTTTCTATACCCTATTTTACATAATATATACAAAATTACTCAACTAGATTATCTACAAAAAATGAACAAATAATTATGTATGAACTGTGTGAATCGAAAGGAGAGACCTNTAAATTTATCATATTTTATACCTATCTCGTTAATATCTAAATTTATGTCAATCTTTACTTTTTAGGACTTTTTTCTATACCCCATTTTACATAATATATACAAAATTACTCAACTAGATTATCTACAAAAATTGAACAAATAATTATGTATGAACTGTGTGAATCGAAGGGAGAGACTTGATGATCTTTTTCTTTTCCTTTTTAATAAGCTTAAATTGAGATGTGACTTACAACGGAGATTATAAAGACATTTCTTTTTTATATATTGAGAAATTACATGTAAATGTTTTTTCCTCTGTAAATTACTTCAACCGACGATTAAGAAAGCAAAAAGAAAAGCATAGAGAAGAATTGAAGTACTAATTTGATGATGAAATAGGAAAAAATAGAGATGGGACAGTGACTATTAAACCAAATTACATGAAAGAAACACAAAGTGGAATTTAGTCGAGTATATTTTATGTATAGACTATGTAAGATGAGCATAGAAAGAAATTTAAAAGTTAAAGATTGAGATAAATTTTGTTATTCATATGGTGGGTAAAATAGAGTAGGTTTAGTTAATTGTAGAGTGAATACAAAAAGTATAAACTTAATAGTTTTATTATTTATTGTTTGATGAGATGGAAACGAAAATTTGTGGGATAAAAATAGTCTCACCCTTGTTTTTATCTTTTCCAGTGTTATCATATTTTACTTTTGGATAACTTTACAATACTGTAATTTAATTTTCCAATACTATGCTAAAAATAATTTGTATTCATGTAATTGAGTAATTTATAGTTATTAATTTTTGTGGCACATTATGGATGTGTGAGAAAAGTGTGTGTGAGAGAGAGACAAATAGGTAAGAGAAATATGTGAGAGAGGAGGCAATTTTAAATTGACAATTAACTGTTAGTAATTGGGGCTTTGAGTATGTTTTCGAAGAAAAAAATTTGGTATTGGACCTCCAAATTTTATTATTTTAATAGATATTTTTATAATTTTTATGATTCATTTTATAATTAAAAAAATTATTATTTTTATGAGTATTTTTATCACTGTTATGATAATTATTTTTACCACTTTCTTTGATATAAAAAAAATTATTCCTCTTTAACACTACTATGGTAACTATTTTTACTATTTTTTTGATACGAAAAATATTTAAATAACTTATAGTTAGTTAATAAGAGAGTGGAAATATTCTTATATATTAAATTGATTCTTGATAGAATAATTTGATAGAGAATGGGTATCTTAAGGGATAGACATTAGGTGGGTTATATTTAAATAAAGAGAAATATTATATAATCCAAATTTTTAATTTAATTTTGTATCTCAAATGAAGGGGATCATTGGATGAATGAGTTCCATCAATTTTTTTAAATGAGACTCACTAATCTAATGGTCCTCCTTTATTTGAGATACAAACTTGAGTTGTAAATTTGGGTTATAAACCGGTAGAAAATAACACAATTTATGGAGTGCATTAGTTGTTCGAAAGTGAGTGTGTGTTCCGGACCAAAAAAAGAAGAAGAAAAAAGTGAGTGTGTGTTAAGTAGGGCATATGGATGTATTTATGGTGAGAGACTGATTAGGTATTGAGCAATTAAATGAATACAAAATTAGAGAATTCAAGAAATTTAAAAGACGAAAAACACTCTTCAGTATTTAGATGCAATTAACAAGAAAGTTATGCATTATTAAAGTAAAAGAAAACATTGTTGGGAAGGGTGTTGAACCTTATAATCAACTACAACATATAACTGAAGACTCACATTTTAGATTTTTCAGTCTAGAGAGCACACATGCTATATTTAATAGAGACGAGGTTAGATCTTGATTTACCCATTTACCCATGTTGATACTAAGGTCTATTTGACGAGCCTTTGAGAAAGGAAGAGTGTGTGGTGGTCTATCTTTTGAGTTACTTGTCACTCATATCTATAAAGGTAATAGAATTATGATTTTTTTTAAAGATACCGTGCAGAACTCCGTGAGACCTCTTAACAAGAGCTATTTGAAGCTGAGTTGAGCTCAGGCTGATTATTTTGTATTAGAGGAAAGAGAGATTGAGAGTGTGGTGACCATTGTCTGTTTTATGCTTTCACAATTGGCGAATTGAATGTGATGGCAATTCTAAAAGGAATAGGATTGAATAACTATTTATGGGTATTTTGGTAATAAAAATTAATAGTTGTTGTTAGTTTAGACCACCCATTTAAAATTGTACTCCCACATGTCCTTTAGACCTTAAAATATAAATGATTGGACTTATTGACTTAATAAAACATATAGCTGTCATTTTTACCAATTTTCACTTTTATTTAAAGTAAAATTGTTTGCAATTAGATTATAATTGATCATCACTGTTTTTTTTTTGTAATTGGTATGAATTATTTGACAGATTTTATTTTTACAAAGTTATATCTGATTTAATAAAAAAATTAGAAATTTGATCGATAAATTTATACAATCTAAATAACTCAATTGCGTTAAATCCTAACAAATTATATGTGAATTTCTAGTTAATTTATTAAACAACTACAAAGTTTCCTCGTATATTTATGTGCACACACTTTCGATCGGATCATAAGTGGTTTGATATTGATCAATTTAAATTCAAATTTGTGAAATAAAATATAAAAGATTTTGATCCAAATAATCGATAAAAAAAATATCAACTCATTTTCAACTTATCAAATTCGGTTTCAAATTGGACTTAATTCAAACTTTGATGCGGGGAAGTAGCCAATAATATTTGCATGTTGATCATGACA